TCAGCGACAGCCCCGAAACCTGACAGATCTAGAGGAGATCTGTGTGGAGGAGTGGGCCAAAATCCCTGTTGCAGTGTGTGCAAACCTGGTCAAGAACTACAGGAAACGTTTGACCTCTGTAATTGCAAACAAAGGCTTCTGTACCAAATATTAACACTGATTTTCTCAGGTGTTCAAATACTTATGTTCAGCAGTGCAAGACAAATAAATTCTTTAAAAATCATACAATGTGATTTCCTGAATTTTTTTTTTAATTCTGTCTCTCAGAGTGGGAATGCACCTACAATGTGAATTTCAGACCCCTCCATGATTTCTAAGTGGGAGAACTTGCAAAATCGCAGGGTGTTCAAATACTTCTGTTCCTCACTGTATATCGAATTAACTGAAGCATAGTTTCTGTTAAAATATTCATAATGACTGGTTAATCCAAGTACTTTACTAATTTATGTCAGCTTGTGTACAACATTTTGTTTCCTGAGTCAGGCACTGAGATCCATTACATCTGATATCTCATGTACAACAAATTCAGTCCCATCATATGATGACATACCACAGTAGCTTGTTCTGTCAGATGAATGCCACAAACGTGCACCAGTACACGGTACATACAGACATGTTATCCCTGCAGCGGCTGCTCTGAATCCCTCAGTGTGAGGTCAAAGATGAGAGGAGACACAGGGCGAGGACAGACCAGATAGTCGATCCATATTTACCTTTATAGCTTTGATAATGCCAAAGTCAGTGAATTATCGAAAGCAAGACTCAGTCTCCTACAAAACACATTTCTGTTGTTACTGTACAGATAACAATGTGGTGTCTATTATACATTAATAACTTTTTACACACTGATTTGTCAGGTGCATAAGAAGTGAACACAGAACAGGGAATCAGGTTCCTCAACCACTTTTATCATGCAACATCTCCCACAAAAACATGAAATGGTTTGGTATGGTTCTTATGCCTGTGTAGTTATTAATAAATGTGTCTGACAGGGTAAGGAATTCTTAGAATGAAAAAGGCCCATGTCTTTCAATGTAAGTGCTTGTCAGACTGTCAAACGGCTTCAGAAACACCATTCTCCCTCACCTTTTTAACGTCTTTTCATCAACTGTGCCCAACAATTTTTTTTGTAACTCTGAAACCGACAATCTGGTAAGCACTTACACTCACTCTCCTTCAGCTAAGTCTGTCACTTTTCATGTGTCAACACTATGAATGCCTTCCAGGAGAGACTGTCTAACCTCATTTTTGTCCTAAACATTATTTTTTAGCATTTTTGTCTTTATTTAATTGACAGTCTACCGCAACAGGAGACAAGGGCAGAGACAGAGGTGTATGACACGCAACGTAGGGTTTCCCCAGCAGGGACTCGAATCGTACACATACTGTATGTATGGTTATGTGGTATACATGATGACTATTAGACCACTGGATGCGCTGTTATCCCTATTTTTTAATACTTTACGCAGCTAGTCCCTGTCTGTGACGGCTGCCTTCCTCGAGTGTGTCCGTGGGTCACATCTGCCTTCTAACATGGTCCAGACCAGACTTTGTACAAAAGAGATCTTTTCCACAATTACCTAGCCCATAAACATGCACAGAAAAGAAAGTGAATGGACAGTGTGTACATGTGCACTACTATCTCAATTATTGTCAGGTTTTTGGACTACTCTTATATTTTGTAGATGTAAACATCAGATCCTGGTTTCAGAAGTGTCCCTATAGCTGGGTACTCTGATACAAACTAGCATGTAAACCCCTTATCCAGATTTCTGATCATTCTGCCTTATGTACAGGTGTTTGTCAACCAATGTTACCTAATAGTTTGTGTGGAGATCTCCATGCTAAAGTTAAGAGAAAGTATAATGCTGGAAATGCAGAGCATAAACTGCCATCTGCATTTTTGAATACTGGTGATCAGATAGAGCATATAAATGGAAACAGATGCAAACCAAACTGTGTTCATCTTCAATTCTAGATATAAATCAGTTGGTAAAGAAAAGATATTAAAAAACTGACACACCTGCAAAGCCACAGATCATCAGAAGCCTGGATACTGTTATATAGAGGGATATGGACAACCAGGTGTCTCGTGTTCTATGCAAACTTTTTATCCAGTATAAGGCTCAAAATTAGAATGCTATTGTGCCTGTACACACACTCAATGAAATGACTTTGGTGATTATCAGTTGTGTCAAAGGTAAACAAGTGCTGGCCCATATGGCATGGTAGAGGAGATGACCTGTGCTCAAAGTTCGCAGAATCTCAAACAGAAAGCACAAATGAAATTCAGAGACCACAAAAAGTGAAACGCAACAGTTATGTCCTGAATCATAATCACATGTGTATGTTTCAGAACCAAGGCCCGGTCCTGCCAAGTTTGCAGAGGCCCTCAGTCTGCCCAGTGACACACTACAGGATGCTATGGTTTATTTGGGGAAAAAATGGACGACAAATAAGCCTTACAACATGGGCTACTTCTCAGTGACACACACTGTACTCTCTCCTACCCCTCCCCTTCCTGTTCTCAGAACAATTATGAGGGCGAGGGCGAACATAAAACACGCTCGCTGTGTCCATGATAAAGGCTACCTATACTGTACGTACAAAGTCACAATGCAGCAATGTGCAGCGCAATCATCTGGTAAAAGTTTTTTTAATACTTTGACATCAGTGAGACACACATGACATGACCCTTCCCAGGATTCAGTGGGACACACAAAGCACTTTTCCTAAGAACCGGTTTAAACTGGTTGACGTGTGTGTGTGTGTGTGTGTGTGTGTGTGTGTGTGTGTGTGTGTGAGAAGCTGAAGCTAGTTTTAACCCTTCAGGTGCTGGAGCATACGCAGGGCGTCCAGTCACGGCACTTGTCCTTTGTTTGTGTGTGTGCGTGCATGTGTGTGCTAGGGAGGGGGTGGTGTCTGAAAGGCATTAACAATTCCAGTGCATAGAGCTGTGAACTGATGCTGTTGGAAGGAGTTCGATGCAGCCAATGCCACCCCCCACCCCCAGCCCTATGAGGACACTGACCCTATCTTTGTAACGGGGGATCTGAATGGCTGTCAGGTTTCACATTTCATTTCCATGGCAGCTTACACACATTTCCTTGAAGCCACCCACGCAAACACACATATGGTGGATCAA